TGAATAAGCTTGAGCTAAACAAATATTTTTATAAATTTATTTAGTTAACGTAGTTAATTAATATATATTGTCATCATTATTTTATACAAGTTTGATAAAAGTAATGGATAATCGTTTATCAAAGTATTGATATTCACCCCAAGGGTTGCAAAGAATAAATTATTGTAATGGGTTTAGGGTTTTATTAATTATACAATATCTAATTTAAGAAATATTATTGGGGTATTAATGTTCATACAAGAGGTGTAAAAATAAAAATTTTTATCAATCTAAATGTTGTAGCGATGCATCTTCTATAAAAAAAAATTCATGAGAAATACTTGTATTTGTATGCACATATAGAACCATATGTTCCTCACAATACTATGGTAAAAATGATGGTTGGATCAACTTCTAGTGTTAGCAACGTGCATAGAGTTGTAAATGATAATAAAAATTGTTATAGGAATGTGGTTATGGATATAATGAGAATAAATCAGGGTTATATTGGACAATGTTTAATCATAGATGAAGAACCTAATGCAAATACAGTTGGATTTTTTTTTATCTTGTAAAAGATTTTAATGAACTATTACGAGATGATTGCATAAATCAAAGTAAATTATTAGTCATTGTATAGATATTCACTATCAAGTCAAATCATGAGTTGAGTGAGGTCGGTTATGATAAAATTGTCAAATAAGCTAGAAGCATTTTACTTAAAGAGAACAAGCTAAAAGAAAATTTCTATGTTGCTAAGTCCATGTTGAAACCCCTTTGTCTAGGATATCAAAAAATTGACATGTATCCAAACTTCTACATGCTAAACTACCTTGAAAATATAGGACTGATAGAATGAAGAACATGTGGACATTCTCGTTATAAACCCAAAACTGGCAAAGAAGGACTCTTATCGCACATAGAATACTTAGATACTTCACAATCATACCTAGACTACAAAGGTTATTCATATCACCAAAGACTGTTGAGCACATGACATGACACCAATCCATGATGCGGTGGATGGAGTGATGGTGCACCCTTTCATTGGATTCAATTGATTCATGTCATTTATTGCTTTTTATTTTTGTTGGCTAATTATACTCACGATTTACAACTTGCCATCAAGAATGTGTATAAGGCTGGAGTTCACGTTTTATCTATGATTATAAGCGGTCTTAATAGTCTAGGTTGGAATATAGATGTTTGTCTTCGACTATTGAATGATAAGTTAATGCATTTATAGTCATTCAAGGCTTTGACTTATAATATATCTAGGAAATAGAATTTTTAGATAGAGGCAGCTTTGGTATGGACTATAAATGATTTTCTAACATATGGAATGGTTTCTGATTAGAGAATATATAGAAAACTAGCATATTCATACTATATGGAAAATAACAAGTTATTTGTGCTCACAAATGATAATAAAACATCTTTTTTACTATCACTAGCGATTCTTGTTAACAAATCACAAGTACAAAAAAAAGACTTCTTTATTACTTCTTTACAACAAATCACAAGTATAGAAAAGACTTCTTTATTAGGAGAGTTGAAAAGAATGTGGAGCCGTCGTTTCTTTCGGGTGAAGAATTATATGATGTGGTGTTAGAGAACAGTAACATTGTGTTTAGTTTTGAATCCAACAAACAGAAGTTTTCTAGTTTTGGTTTGATCCATAATTTAGTAAAGCAAAGTATTTTCTGAAAGTTTTTTTATTGGAAGATCAATTTTCCCCGCATTAACCTTAATGTCATGCCTATAGAAAAGAATACTTTTTAGAATATTTTCAACATGGCTTTGGATATGAAGGGGAAGATAAAGAAAAATATCAAGGCTAAAATGGATATAACTTAGTTTTGTCACCGTAAAAACATGAAGTTAGTTTATATTGGTTCATGAGTCGTAAAGCCCAAAGCTAGTTTTGCCTTAGACAAGAATTCACAGTTACTCATCTACCAATGGTTTAAGAGTTTGTGTTTTCCTGATAGACATGCCTTGAAAATATCAAGGTTAGTTAATTTAAAGGATTATAGATTGTATGAAATTAAAAGTCATGATTGTCATGTATTTATACAAGCACTCATTCTATTAATTTATCAAGATTTATTACCAAAAGAATTATGGGATGCACTATTGAAGATCAATCATTTCTTTAGAGATATATGCTCTAACAAATTGTAGACACAGCATATGGAGAGGCTTGAAATGCATATCATGCAGATAATATGCAAACTTAAAATGACATTCTCTTAATAGTTGTTGGACTCAATAAAGCATTTACCCATACATTTACCGTTTGAGGTAAAAGTTGGAGGCCTAGTCCAATATAGATAGATCTATCCATTCAAGAGTTGGAGATTACAAATGTAATATAATTAAAGTTTTATTATCTTTTTTTTTCATAATTCAAATTATTTATTTAATTTCATGTAAGTACTTATTCAACCTTAAAAGAAAAGTTAAAAGCAAGATGCATGTTGATGCTTCGATATATAAGGCTTATATTGTTGAAGAAATCTCAATATTTATCTCATAATATTTCAAGCCTCAATTATGAACTAGAATCAACTGCGTTTTAAAACATGAAGATGGTGATGAAGTGTCTTTGAGTGAGAACTTGTCAATATTCTCTCATCTTAGACTATCGGTATAAAAAAAATGTTGTTAAGAAAATATGTTTGTCTGATATAGAATTCAGACAAGCATGTAATTATATGCTATTTAACTGTGATAAACTAAGACCTTTTATTCAATAAGTATACTACTTCAATTTTGTTATTAATGAACACTTTATCTCTTATAATATCATAAACTGATATGTTGTTGAATAGCTCGTAGGAAACATCACTAATATTTACTATCCTAAAACTCACAAATGATCAAATCCTAAGCCTTTCAATTATAAGATGAATAATTTTTCACGTAGTTCAAAACATATATGAGTGCTATTTAATTATTATTATCTATCGCGATACTTAATTTCATTGTACATTTCTCGTTAACTATTCATAGTTGTACTTCATGTACCAAGTTTATAAATTGGAAGGAAATGTTAGTTTTACTTTGTCTTAACTAAGTCTGGGTTTTGAAAGAAAGGTGAGTGCTATAATGAGTATTTCATCGATAGAAACATGTTTCATATAAAGGAATATTGGCAGGGTAGATAAACATATAACAATGAGATTTGTGTTAAGGGATCAACTTTTAATGAGTTTGAAGTTGACTATTATGGGAAATTAGAAGAGGTAATTGAATTGCAATATCATAACGAGCATAATAGAGTATTTTTATTCAAATGCTATTAATATGACACCACTAACAGAGAAATCATAATAAATCCCCATAACGGTTTGGTCAAAATTAATTCAAAGGCTGGACTCTACAACATCAACAATATCTTTGTTTTTGTCAAACAATGCTAGCAAGTTTATCATACATACACTTTTTTTCTTAGAAAAAATCATTCAAGAGTTGATTAGTTACTCATATTAAAAACCAAACCAAATGGTCGTGTCGATGTTGTTCAAGATGGCAATGATAAATCAAATATGAAAGATGATGTCTTTTAACTTAGTGAGTTAATTAATCCATTTGAAGTTGCTCTATCTATTTTCTTATATAAAAATTCAAATTTTCACATCACTGAGAATATTTTTGTTGATGTTGATGCTAAGGAGTTAAATGTTGTTTTTAACTCTAACGAACATGCACAATTCAGTGAAGATGATGATAACAATGAAATCAATGTAGAAAATTATAACAGAGATAACAACGAGTCAATTGAAGAAGAAGAAGACAATTCTAATTAATTTGCAAAACACAAAAGTATAATGCCATAAACTATAATGTAATATTTATGGATAAAATTCACTTCAATATAATGAGAAAGATGTTAATTTATTATTGAATTACAAGGAAATATTTATTTTATTATTATGATGAATTGGTATTATTGTGATATGGGTGCAACTATCAATTTAAGTATTTATAGGATGGATAGATAGGGAATACAAATACAATCTAGCATTAAACATTGTTTCACACTAATAGAAATATCGACGGTTTGTTCATTACACACAGATATACCAACTAGCTATGTTCATTCGTATATTCCAATGGTCATGGAAATTGTTCCCCTTCTTCCTGACACTATTCATGATGTTCATTATACACATGTATACCGACAAGCTATGTCTGTCAATATATTACAATGGTGATAAGAATTGTTTCTTTTCTCTAACACTGTTCAAGGTGTTCATTATACACAGATATACCGACGAGTTATGGTCGTCAGTGATGAGAATTGTTCCTCTTCCCGAGGCAACGATGCTAATTAATGGTTTTATTGTTTCCAATAAAATTATTGATGAAATGGGATTTCCAACGCGCTGGCAATTAATATTTTTACTAAATAAAGTATAGGTTTTTATAGGTTTTCCAATAAAATCACCAACAGAATGGGAATTCTAATGTGTTGGTAATTAATGCATTTGTTCTTAATAATTTTATGAATTTATAGTTGTGTTGAATTTTAGTTGTTATTAAAATAATTTTTGCATTATTTTGATGAATTTCAATTAATTGTATAGGATTAATTTCAATTATTATTTTGTATTTATTTCATTTAGAATATTTTTTTGTGAATTTAGGATTACAAGTATTATCATTTAGACATAATTTTCTTGAATCGTAATTGTGACTTAAACAAATTTGTCGTTGTAACTAGTGAAACATTGAGGTAGAGTCATTTTGTGGTGGTGTTTGTTGTGCAGGGTTCAAGTTGGGTTAAGGAGGACAGGATCCTGCAATCCCTGGTTTATATGATTGCAGGAATGTCCACTGCAATTACCAGGCATAAAAAGAACAACGGATTCGAAACATGCTTTGGTATCCAAAGAAACTATGGATTGAAACAATTGCATGTAAACAAAGTCAACTCAGTTTACAAAAATGGAAATTAGTTGACAAGCAAGAAAGAAATCTGCTAGTTTTATTGCAAACAAAGAGTTGCAGGAATAAGAAACAAGAAACCTCATTCCACTCAACAAAATCACTCCCAGATCACACCAAATAACAAATAGGTTTTCATTACAACACATCCCACTGGAACTATTAATTTTCTATATATAGTTTTACAAAGCAACAGTTACTAATAATTAGACTCCTGCTAATAGCTAACAGATAAGGAAAACATCAGCTATTACTGCCACTTGAATGATGATCCAATAAAATTGACATCAATTATTGGATATCAACTGCCCTCTTTCCAGCGCAAATGGCTGGAACTTTAGCCTACACAGAGTACGAATTTGATTCAGCAAAATCCTTGGCTTTATCAACCCTATACACGTTGTTAGATTCAGTCAATTCCTTCTGCTTAATTCTGCTCTGGATGCTCCAGTCTTGATCACTAGAATTTGCATCATACGTCTAATGCTGTTGATACCATCGGCTCTCAGGACCTGCCAAACAAAGCTCACAATTGATTATAAATGTCTCTAATATTCCACCTTTAAGGAGAACAGAAGAAAAGGTGTGGTATTGCTCTAAAGCAGATTCTAGAAATCAAAAACCAAATTAAACAATTAAGTCGTCAGGAAATTTACCAATTCATATGCATAAAAAGGCAGAAACTCGTGCTCCTATCGATGCAGACTGTAGTGCCCTCTCCTTTTCATAAGAAGTTGTTAACCATTTCCTCAATTTCTTTGCTTATATTCTTTGTAAGCATACAAATTTTGAATGCTATACAACAGGGATGCCACACAAAATAGAAGTAACTAGAGCTCCAGCTCTGAATTCTAGCTTAAATTTCAGCTTTAAAGGCTTGGAAGCAGCAGGCATCGAATTTGACAGCAATCAAGGAACAGCATGAGGTTTAACTGATAAGAAAACCTTCTTGAATCTTGACTTGTTAACCTCCTGTAGTCAGTTTTGGATCCATGACACCACAAAAATCTCTCCTTTTGCAGTTTGTCGTTTAATCCTACCAAGTAATAGAATTACCACAGCTGCTGAATACAGCCCAAACACAAGCCACGATGAAAGTACTGACAAGAATTCTTGAGAGAATTTACATGACAACCACACAACCACAAGGGGAAAAGGGTTCTTCTTGAACCTGACTTAATCTCTTCACACATGAGAAGTATCTTATCAGGGCACAGTAATTGAGATACAGAAGTGGGAATCTGTATTCTGTAAAGCAACATGGTCTCAATCATCAAACTTCAAAAAGAATTCAAGAGGCTAAAATAAAATAAAAAAGGAACCCCCAATCAACAGAATCAGATGTCATCATTAAATCATCAATCTTTGTACCTTAAACAAGTTATAGACCAAGAGATCAAGATCAAAGGAGAAGTGTAGAGAATTGGCAGAGGTTGTTTTCTTTCAAGTTCGACAAAAGTAGTCCCCAAAATAAAGCAACATAGTCTCAATCATCACACTTCAAAAAGAATTCAAGAGGCTAAAATAAAATAGAAAAGGAACCCCCAATCAACAGAATCAGATGCCATCATTAAATCTTCAATCTTCGTACCTTAAACAAGTTATAGACCAAGAGATCAAGATCGACGGAGAAGTGTAGAGAATTGGCAGAAGTTGTTTTCTTTCAAGTTCGACAATAGGAGTCCCTAAAATAATCCCTTAAGAGTACTTAAACATGAAAATTTATCAGAAACAACCAGCAACAACAATACACCTTTACCACTTTTATTACAGAATCTAATAACTGATCACTTTTTACTATATGTACAGTAGAACCAACAGCATGACCTAGAGCCAAGACACGTCACCATATGATGAGGAAATAGTAGATTGTGCTGTTCTTAAGGTGGAAAATTGGGTAACAATAACTTACATGAGTTATAGCAGCCTACCTGTTTTGAGGAAAGACCACCACAGCACTGCTGAGCTGAAAATGATATTTCTATTGAAATTCCCATTTTGAGAATCTCCTCATAGAAACACAGTATAATTTTTCCATCTGATACCAGATCCATTAGCATGCTTACTGTGGATGAATACTAGATCTGCTATCAACCATTTCGTTGAGATCTTGTACAACACATGATGTGCAGTTTTTGAGAAGAAATCCTTTTGAGAACAATGTTATAACATCTTAATCAATGGGCACTGTAAGAGTGAAATATCAAGAGTCTATTTGGTCGCACATTTCAGCTAGGAGAGTTATTGCTTCATGGATCCCTCTACTCTTACAATGGCCATTGATCAAGATGTTATGACTATGAAAGCCAGAAGCGCAACCTTGGTTGACCATTATATTTTAACTAAATATACTTTTCTTCCATACAATCCACCCTAATAACCAGCCAAATTTCACCACGGATCAGCTAGGGTTCAAGCCAACCATCTGACTGAATGATATAAAGTCATCTAAGACTGTTGTAATTGGTATTACCACCAAACACACCGTTTTTTTATAGCAAAAACAAAAACACTTAAATATAATGCTAGATGCAGAAGCAGGGTATGAGAATTTAGAACTGGAAGATTGAACAGTAAAAATAAAAACAGGAAAGTTTGCAATACCCATTTGTTGTTGAAGGTGAAAAGTGGCTGCAGAAGCCCTAAAAAGGCTTTTCGCCCAATCATCTCATCTACAAAGGTCGCTCTCATTGTTTCTCTCCAGATCACTGCAATTTGCTCCATTTTGAGTATCTCGTTTTTAAACAGGAAAAGGAGGCCCTCCCCATGGGCCCCGTGAGCTCATGACGAAACAAAACCCTAAAAGGCCCAAAAAGGCTCTCAACTCTCAAGTTCACCAGCGTCCCAGATCAATACCAGAGAACTATATGTTATTTCACGCAGGTCCGAGAATCTAAAACTGGACAATTACCTTCTCTACTAAAAGATCTGGGGTTTGTGATGGTGCTTCACTACCTCCCATTCAAACAGGTGTCTTTTTATTTTACTCCCCAAGATCAAACAGGTGTCCTTTTGTTTTAATCCCCCAGATCAGGAAATAATCCCAGCAATTCATCAAAACAAAATCAAAACTACTTATTAATAAAAGCATGAAACAAATTAAAACTTAATTATAAGAAAAACCCATAAATCAAATTAAACTAAAATCCCCAGATAAAGAAGTGTGTTTTTGTTTTAATCCCCAGATCATGCAATAATCACAGCAATTTATCGAACTCAAAATCAAAACTACTCACTAATAAAAGCATGAAACAAATTAAAACCCAATTAACCAAATCACCAAACATGAAAACCCCACGAATAAAATTAGATTGAAAGAAAATGCAAAAAACAAATATTAAATCTCCCATATCCTATTATTTCATCTGCTCAAGAATCCCCATAGATTCAATCATTCGACAGACACCATGGACAAAATTCAAAGAGTCCAAGAGACTGACACTATCAAAACACACACCCAACAAATATGCTTAAAAGAAATCATAATTACACAAGTAATAAAAAAGTGGGTGTTATTGCAAATCCAATAGAGAAGCTTAGATCATCTCCAAACTAGAAAAATAAAAATAAAAAAGGGAACTGAGTTATATTAGTAGTGAGACAGAAAGAATGTATGTTTATTTATGCTAGAGAGAGAAATATACAGAGAGAAGGGGAGATTGGGATTTATCAGATAAATAACAACACAATCTCTTTTTATTCTCTGCGTTATCTCTTTTTAAAACCCGATCCGCTCATTTTGTTTCTTATCAAATTAAGAACCCATGATAAAAAGAAAAAAATTCTTTTTTTGTTGAAAAATATATTAATAAAAAAATAAGAAATTATAGTAGAATTTTTCTAAATGAAGTTTAAATTATTTATTTTCTAGAAAAAAAAAATTATTATTGGATAATAAAATAAAAAAATTAAAAGAATTTATTATGATGTGAAATCAAATACCTTAATAGATATTTTTATATCAACTTAATATTTGATTTTAATCAGCATACTCCGTATTTAATTTAAACCAACATATCTCCTAGAATTTACTAAAAATATAATATAATTTTTAATTTATTTTATTGAGCATGTATATCAACTTATTAGTTTGCAATTTAAATTTTTTCTTATAAAAAACAAAATATTAACAATGCTAGCATTTGTTTTGTATTGAAAAACAATTTAGTCCATCCTACAATGATGCGCCGAAAGCACCATAATTAATATGGTACTAGTTGGTGAATCTTCAACTAAAGCTTTATTATATGACATGTCAAGCGATGCAACTCGGGTGTTAATTTAAGATAAGGTTTAGTTATTTTTTAGTTATTTTTTTTAAATAATATTATTTTAATTTATTTTTTTATAAAAAAAATAAAAAATTAAATTTTAACTAGATTAATCTGAGTCAACTAAAATAATAAGTCATTACATATTTTTTACCAAGTCAACTATTTCTTTTTCTTCTTCTTTTTTTTTATCTCAAGATAATTAGGTATTAGATCAACACAGCATAGTCTTGGTTTTACAACTATAGTAATATATGTTTCTCGTAAATTATAAAGTTAACGGGCATAGGTTGAAAAAAAAAATAGCATTAAAGCCCTCCTTGTAGTAGTTTATTTACAGTTGGTATCCTAATGTTTAAGTAGAAAAGAAAATATTTTAATTTATAAATTATTAAAAAATCTCATTTAATAATTTAAGATTTTAATTAATATAATTATTTAACATAATTTTAATTAATTAAAGGATTAAATAATATAAAGCAGTGATAGCAAATTTCAAATTTAAAAAACTTTTACACGAATGGTTTTATATATTCAGCTTTTAATTGAATTAAATCCTAAATGTAATGTTTATTTACATTTCAAATCTCTCCAGAGCAAATGTAATATAAAATAAAACATCAAATCTCTACACATGGGATTTAATTTAAAATCAAGGCAATTCAGTGAAAATAATTTAATAACAATAGAGGAAACAACACTCTTGAAACATCAAATTATTAAGAGAGATCCAACAATTGGTAAATATATTATATCTTTTTTTAACCATCAATACAGCCTACTGCTACCAGATATTTTTTTAGCTTAAATCTATCTCGTTGACCTAAAAATATATATGTTGGATCATTTATATAATTTGTTTGGAATAAATTCACATCTAGGCATGACATATTCATATTTAACTATTTAAAATTATTTGTTATCGCAAAACTGACTACATCATTGATACTCATAAAATATATTTGAAAGAAAAATTTTATTTCTAAACACAACAAAATGTTAAGTTATCATACTTTAAAAGCGCATTTACTTAAATATCGTTTATTTCTAAACACAATAAAATAGTTGTCACATTTCAGAATAGCAATATTTAATAAATATCTCTTTTTAAAAGCATATTAAAATAAAAATATGTTATTTTTTAAAATTATATTATTTTGTCATAACTTTTATTTTACTATGCTAATTTTTTAAAAAAATTCTTTTCTTGTTCTCCAATTATCTAATCCAATCAACACTAACATTGCTAAGGAATGGTTGATGGTGATGATGACATTTTATTTTGCACTTTTGGGTCCCTTTTATAAGGGGTTGTATAAAGAAATACCATTAATCTGAAACATTATGGCTAAGATTTAGGTCAGCGACTGTGTGCTGTTTTATGATCGTAGTTTAATGTTTGTTGATATTATTATATAGAGTAATTTTTTAAACATTTCTAACGATATAACATGATGATAGAAAGTTTGAGATCTAGCAGGTCTTGAGTTCAAATCAGAATATGTATTTTTTGTAAGAATTTAGGATAGTAAGGGTTTTACTTACTTATCTGGGCCTATAAAATATGATTTTTAAAATGTAGGATTTCCTCGAATAAAAAAAATAATTTTTCAAACATTTTCAATTCAAAAATATCAAAATGTTTTATTGTTAATATTAATATATTAAAATTGTTAAAAAACATAAATTTAATATTTTTAATATGAAAAGCCATTTGAAAATAATTTTAAACAACATCATCAATCATCAAAATGAATATAGCTCGGGCTTGACTTGATTTAAGTTAGATGGGTTAGTTGGATCGATGACGAGTTTATTTATTTATTTTAATTAAGATAAAGTCATTATTTTAGAGTTTTTAAAATTTAAAATAATATCATTTTAGTAAATAAAATAAATTCAACTTAAAGGGTCATCAAATTAGCCTTCATAAAGTAGATTGGGTGTCAAAAACCATGGTTTAATCCAAACTTGTTAGGTCCTCAATTGATTGAGGGGTGGGAAAGAAAGCATGTGTATTGGTTTAAAAGTGTATTTCCTACGGAACCCCCCTCCTCCCCCAAACAAACCTTTAATGCCTGTATAAATCCCACAAATAAACCTTGTAGAAAAGAATTGGTCTCAAGTTCAGTTCATTTAACTGAATTAAGTTAAATTGTAACATGATAACCAATAAAGATTTTAAAAGTTTTTAAGGAAAGAAAACTCAAAAAGGTAAAAGTTCTTGAAGATGAGTAAGGAATTAAAAAGTTTTTTTTTTAAATAATTTTCCAAACTATTTAAGAAGTAAAGATTTTTCTTTTGGAAAAATATTATGATTTTGAAGAAATTTAAGGAAGAAAAAAAATTCTATAATAGAGAGAATGACACTAATTAAAACTCTTTTTTATTCTTGAACAACAATGAAATCTCATTAATCAAAAAACAATATTATATAGTATAAAGAAAAATTCAATACAAAAGAGATTGAACATCTGATTTTATTTTTTTTAATAAAACAGTCAATATAAACAAATAACATAGAGAGAAATAACCAAATTCCTAAACCTAAGTCTAAAATGGTGAAACCACTTGATGACATTGTATTTATTTTATATGTGTTTTTTAAAAAAATTAAAATTTTCTTGTTTTAATTTTGTTATATTTTTAGATTATTTTGATATACTAATATTAAAAATACTTTAAAAAAATAATTATAATTATACTTTCAAACAAATCTAGAGAGTACGGCACATCTTACAAATTATTTCAGGAAATTAAACTAGCAACGTTAAAGCAAGGGTAAGGATATAACTTATCTTTGCTTCTTCTTTTTTTTCTTTTTGTGATGTAAAGTAAATAATCATTTTAGTTTGATTTTTAAAAAATTCTTGAAAATACTTTACATAAAAATTAATTTTTTTTATAGTTAGGTTAATGAGCTTAACTATGATTGTATCATTTGTCTAAAAAAATAAATCTTATGAGAAATATTGAATTCTTTAATGTTTACATATACATATATATATATAATTGGGACACGTCTTCTATATGTTTCGTCTAAAAAAATAAATCTTATAAGAAATATTGAATTCTTTAATGTTTATATATATATATATATAACGTCTTCCTTGAAATTTCTTTTTAATTTGTAGGTATATGTCTAGATTTTAAGAATTTTTTATAAAAAAAGATTGTATCATTAATGGAGAAATTTGAATTACCGCTCAAGCTAGTCATCCATTGACTAACCATAATTGCTTGTTGGCTGGTGTGTGATGCAACGTTTTCGTGTTATGCATATTATTACTGAAAAATGTTGGTAATTGTTTTTCATTGACGAAGAAAAAGGTGATTGTTCTTAAAAAAAATAATTGTGTGTGTGTGTGTATATATATGCATAAAAAACAATTACGCGGGCAGCCTATAAAAACCCCATGTATATGCATAAAAAAAATTACGCGGGCAGCCTATAAAAACCCCAAAAAAACTACATAAAATGATTTGGCCAAGGAACAGCCTTAATCATTGCTTGTGCCGACGACATAGTGTTGAGACGAGAAATTTGAAGAAGAAGGATGCCCTATCTACGACTAGCAAGTGCTTAATATCTGCTAGGGGATAAAACGAGGCGGTGGTTGTTTGAGAACGTGCTCGCTTCTTGCTCTCCAATTATCCAACCCAGTCACCGCTGCCGTTGCTAGGGAATGGTGGTTGGCGACGGTGACATTTTATTTTGCCCTCTTGGGACCATTGGACAGGGGTCGTGCGGAGAGATGCACATGTTAAACTACCATTAGCCTGGAATTTTATGGCTGAGATTTACGTCAGTGGCTATGCTATCTTGTGGCCACAATTTAACCCATATTTTACAAGATGCAAAGATGCGATCCAGGTCGCCGGGTGGTTGAGTTAATTTATATGTCAAGAGGTCAATTTAATTTATTTTTTAATATAAAAATGATGTCGTTTCATGGTTTTTAAAACATGAAACAATGTTATTTTAATAAAACAAATAATCCACTCATAACCTAGTTCAAAATAAAACCCAGTAGAGACTCGGCTCTCGATTAGTTGGCCATCAAATTCATCTATTTAGTCAAACTAAGTTTTATTAAAAAAATAATAATATTAAATCTGTCACTTTGCCATAAGGAATGCTTACTGCTTATTAATTCACAATATTTAAAAGGCATGAAAAAAATATTATTCTTCAAGTCATCGGAGACAACACTCATGGGTATTATGGATTTAATATGTTCATGAGTTTTTTTTTTGTTTTTTTGTTTTTCTAATTTTGTCATTTAAATA